AAATCTGTCAAATTGACTTTCACTCTGACCGCCACTAAGTCTGCGGCAGTCTGGTGCTATGGAAACAAGAAGAGGGCATTTTAGGGAGGGTAACTTCTATGAAGAGGTCTCATTTTCTCTCGCCGAAACCAGTCCTAAAGATGGACCCCGCACCCCTACTTAAAATAATCATACCTCGTTACCATAGTCACCGCCACAGCTCCAGACGAATATCTGGCAGAGTACCTATCTTAGACAAACAGTAACGATGTTTCAAAAGCATTTAATTTTTAATGCATGTATGTAAAATATTTTGTTACAGTTTTCTTATTATTTTCAAACCAATAAATCTTAAGCCATTTTTAATTTAAAAAAATTAAAATAAAGCTTGTGTTTGTTTTTACTTTAGAACATCGATCTTAAGGCCTGTTTACACGGTCCAATTTCTTGAATCCGAGAAATTGGACGGATTTCTCTGTCCAAGAAATTGGATGATTCGTTGACACTATCCAAGTTCTTGAATGTCTCTGATTCGTTAAAAGAACACCTTGCGCATTGTTCATATTCAACTTTATAAAATAATACTTACATAAGTTTAAAATTACTAAATAAATTCAAATAAAATCATAATAACACAAATAAACCTCAACAGATCAATTTATTTGGACTAAAATATATGAAAACCTACAACAAAATGACATAATTTGCTGCCAGCTTGTTGACGTCACAAAACCTAAGACGCTGATTGGTTAAGGGAGAAAAAACTTGGATGGAAAGTAGAACATGCTCTACTATCGTTCAAGAAGTTGGACCAAGTTCTTGGATGTTTGTTTACACGATCCAAGCTCAAAGCAAAACAAGTTTCCTTCAATATCAATCAATCTCTGTCCAAGAAATTGGATCGTCTAAACAGGCTTATAAGTCAGTTCATCTTTATTATTTTAATAGAAAAAAATTAAGCAATAAGCAATGGTATTGATGTTATCGAAGCATTTTCTTAGAATAAAAATTTTCTTTCGTAATAGATTTATTCCTTTCATTTGTTTTTGATTGATTTAAAGATTTCTGATAGATAATTTTCGAACATATGTTAAATCGCGATATCTAACAAACGATATATCGCGATATAAAATTTCTTACATCGCCCAATCCTACTCTCCTCTAGACAACTCTCATTTCTTTCGACTTTACTCTCTCTCTCTGTCTCTCTCTCTCTCTCTCTGTCTCTCTCTCTCTCTCTCTGTCTCTCTCTCTCTCTCTCTNTTTTACTTTTTTGATGGAAATGAGGGTGATTTAAGAGGGAAAATTGATTTTTTTGCTGGATAGGCAAGTAAGATACAGTTACTGATGCGATTTTTGACACTGAATTGAATAAAATTAATACTGAGATGATCGGACAAATAGTTTAGAAATTAAAAGGATTTAATGTATAAAAAGTACAATTTTGTACTTGTACCTATTTACGAATCTTTTGCTATCTAAACAAGTAAAGCATCGCTTCTCATGTATTTTTGAAACCACATACTAGCCAATAAAACGAATAAATCAAAAGTTGTAACGTTTTTTATATATAAAAAGTACTCTTTTTGACATGTACCAAAGTACAATTTTTACAATGCTATATTGGAGCTATCTGAAAATACAATGAGATAAACAAATAAGTTCTCTAAGTTTTACGTACTAAAGGTACAATTTGGTACTCGCACCTATTTACGCATCTGGAATTTCTTTACAGACAACTGAGGTATTGTTTCTGCTACAAATGAGGTACTGTATTGTATACGTATTTTTATCGCTTAATCCTTTAAGACTTAATACGAGTCAAAAGGGCTATTGCGTCAACAGCTACCTAGAGTTTTTTTTCTCTTGAATAAAAATTATTATTTTTGGAATGTACTCACTTGGAACAACCCTTACCTATACCAAATAGCCCTAGATCGTAAAACAGTGTATAATACGTGTCAAAAGTAGTACTTTTTATCTATAAAATCACTCGCAACTTTTTAAACTATTAGTTCTATCATTTCCTGTATAGTCTCAAATAATTAAACGTTAAAAATTGGAAATGGAATGTCTCAATTGTCAAAATGGAATGTCGAAAATTGGAATTTCTCAATTGATTCAAATAGTTCAGATGAGTTAAATAGGCAATTTCAATAATTCAAATAATTTCAGATGATTTCAGATGAGTTAAATAGGCAATAGAACAAAATAGTACTTTTTGTATACAAGACCCTTATAATTTCTAAATTATAAGGGTTTTTTGTACAAAATAATCTGATAATCTTTATAATCTGATCCGTACTTATAATAATCCTTATAATTACACTACTGCTGGTCATTAAAATTACTACACCAGGGAGGAATGCAAGTAACAGAATAATATTTTTTGGGCACATACATTATAGTTGGACGAACAAGTGATTAAATTTTCAGAATATTTGGATGTAAAGATCCAGAGGAATAAGTACTCAGAGCAGCCTCCCCTGGTAGCAATAACAGCAGTTATTCTCCTAGGCATCGAGTTGAACAGAGATTGAATAGCATGGACGGGTACAGCATTCCATGCAGCTTCAACATTATGCCACAATTCATCGACCGTAGTGACTGACGAGTGGTTGCGTGCCAGTCTTTCTGCAACTATTGACCAGATGTTTTCAATTGGTGAGAGATCAGGAGAACGTGCTGGCCAGGGCTAACAGTCATTTGTTGACTCAGGGTTCGTGACGTAGCTGTACGATCCCTTAAGGCCATGTGGATAACATGTCTGTCTTCTCGGCTGTTAGTAATGGGAACCGCTGAGATCCTACAAGACGTTCCATATGACCGTCATAAACCCATCTATTCCATATTCTGCTAACAGTCCTCTCGACCAACGAGAGCAGCAATACTTCGGTATGATAAGTCGCAATCCCGGTAGGCCACAATTTGACCGCGATCAAACTCAGACACGTGCTGGTACCCTTACGAAAAAATCGAAGTATTTTTGAGGTATAAATGAGGTATTTTTCAAAGATATAAAAGAGATTGTTATTTAAATACGTCGTTAGGTTGAAAAGGTTTCAAATCAATACCTCAAAATTAACCTCAAATATACCTTAAATATACCTCCAGAGGTATATATGTATCAGCCAGAGGTGTTTAATTTTGCGTATGTGGGAGGTAGATATTTACTACTTTAAGGTGTTTCATTTTCAACCTTAGGTTATTACTTATCAACCAGAAGTATATTTTTTTACGCTTGTGGAAGTATTTATTCAACAAACTAAGATGTTTCATTTAACATTTCAGACTATTATAAATTTACCTCAGGTGTATTTTTTGTCTGTTGGAAAGGTAATTTTTTACTAACGTGAGGTGTATTAAGTTCGACCTTATGTAATTATTGTTCAACCTTAAGTATCTAATTTTATGCTTGTAGAGGTATTTATTTATCAACCTATGGTGCGTCGTTTTGCACTTCAGGTTATTATAAATCTACCTCGGGTGTATTTTTTGACAGTTGGATGGGTAATTTTTTACTAACGTGAGTTGTTCGATGTTCTACTTAAGGTTATTATTTTTCAACCTCAGGTATAGATTTTTGTAGTTGTTGAGGTATTTATTTATCTACCTATGGTTTGCCATTTTACATTTCTGATTATTATAAATCGACCTCAAGTGTATTTTTTGGCACTAGAAAAGATTATTTTTTATGAACATGAGGCGTTCCTTATTCTACCTTAGGTTATTATTTCATAACCTCAAGTATGTTTTTTTCTATTTTTAGAAGTATTAATTTATCAACCTAAGATGCGACATTTTACACTCCAGGCTTATATAGCTCAACCTAAAGCTGTTTTTTTTAATACTTACGAAGGTTCCAAACGTGAGGTGTCATACGGTCCACCTAGTTTATTAATTTTTAACCGAATTTAAGTTTCCTTTCATTTCCTTTTTAAATTCAAGAATATCACACCAAAAAGAGCTGTTAAAGGCTTTTGTGCTTTCAACATTTTCCCCTGCATATCAATGAATCAATGGATTGCAAAAATCTGGAGAAAGTGATTTAAACCCCTCTTTCTTTTGTCGTTAGCCCTCAATGAACTTGAACTCTTTCTATGAACAAAGAAAGAGGTAACAGGACCACCAACTCTTTCCTCAGGTGGTCCTGTCGCATTCCCTTTGTTATCTATAGTTATAAAGATGTCGAAATGATTGTCAATGATTTTTCATTATTGAGATTTTTGAAGTGCGTATTGTCTAATCGTGTGAAANTACCGCACACCCTCGGTCCCTACGCAGACTGATCCAAGTGGTCACCCACCCGCACACTGACCGTAGCCAGTGATGCTTGACTTCGGTGATCTGCTGGGAACCGTGTCTTAACGATCATTTCACTGCGGGAAGCTCTAATTTGAAACGAATATAAGTTGTACATATAAGTTGATCTCTATTATCTTGTTAACACCTATTAATTATTTACATTTTTAGTTAATGTAACTAAATAATACAAATGCGGATGTGCTTTATTGACACGGTAGATCGTTAAGACATGGTTCCCAGTAGAACACTGAAGTCAAGCATCACTGACTGCAGTCAGTAAGCGGGTGGGTGACCACTTTGATCAACCTACGTAGGGATTGAGGGTGCGCGGTATCTGTCCTCATTAAACTGATCTACTGTAAAGTGCTCGACTTCGTGTGCAGGTCGTTAGGCTACCGAAGAGGGGATGCCATCCCCTCTGCAGAGGATCAAAATTGTGATAGCAGGTCTTCGGATCATTCTCAGGGATGTTTCCCAGACCGTCGCCAATAGCCCATTGTGCAGCTCCAGTGCGACGTAACTGAACTACAACTACAACATCAACAACATACATTTGCTGGCTTGTGTGCTCAATTTAGGCTTATAAGCCTTTGTCTAGTAGAAAAACAGATAGAACAATTCAGAGAAAGACATCACGAAGAATGCATCCAAGGTTACGGCGGGATTCGAACCCGTTATCTCCACACGTTGTACAGCATTTGGCCGGTGATACCGCTCAGCCAGTGAGACCCCTATGCGGATGCGAATTCGGAGATACGATTAAGGACTCTTTTTCTTTTGATTTTGACCAGCAGATGCAGATGAATAACATACAGTGTGAACTGCCCCTTAGATGAACTGTTCACACATGCTCTTATTGAATCAACGTGCGATCGCTTGCACTGAATGCTCCCTGAAGAATCAATCTCGAATCATGAGGGTGTTTTTTGCATGCACTGAGAACGGTCTCTAAGACTTTGAGTAAAAGTTGAAGTTGATTTTTTATCATTTCCTCGATTTAATTTTTATTTTTCATTAATGGCATCGATAGTTGTTTTTGTTTTTATTTCTGTTCTGATTTCGAGATCGTGAGTGAGTGAACTTCTGGTTTATTATTTGAATAAGAATTTTTTACTTGCTGATTGCGTTAATATTTATAATCTATTTGATTAATCAAAGAGAGTGTTGTTATGAATTGGTTATTTTTAAGCATATAACATAATATTTTTAAAAATTATTTTATTGCTTTCAGTTTTAGATTGAAAATGTCAAGTTTAAATGTTTTCCACTCCAGAGAAGCGATTCGTGTCAAAGTTAAAGTATGTATTAATTGTTGTGTTCGTAATTTAAATTTAGGTTGCTTACAATAAACTAATTCAATTTTTGTTACAATTTAGACTGTCTACATTCTGTGTGCAATATTTGATTTTTAATTTTTCAAAAAAAAATTTATTTTTTTTTTGCATCCTTTTTTTTGCATTTTGTCCATTTTACTTTATCACTCCTAATTATTTTTAATTTTTTAACTTTATTAGCTTATTTGATATAAAAGTTAATTAATAAAAATCGTTAAATTCAATTTGTGTCACAAAATTTCATTTATTTGTAAGATTTACCCAAGATTTAATGTTTTATATCACTTCCTGTTCAAAACATTATATTTTGCTCTTTTCATAATAAAAGTTAATTTTTTTTTATTGAAGACCTAGTTTAACTACTATTGAATTTGTGATATGACCCTTATATCCAACTTAAATTTAGCAATGTATCCATTATTAGACAACCATTGCAAGACAAACAATTTTATTGCTATCCTTCAAAACACTCTCTAAGTTTTGGCAACTGTAGGACAGGAGCATATGAGAAATTAAAAAAATATCAAAAGGGGACAAAGGTGTGATATAAGCCCGCCCCTCTATAGGGAGGATTTGGGAAAGATTGAAGTCTCAAAATGCAGGTCTGTGTCTTATCAGTACAAGAAAACGAATTGATTGTGGTGATCAAGGGAGGCCTTCAAATGAAACAACCCCGAAAGTGATCATGGGTTGCACAAGTGTAAATGTAAAGTTGTGCTGTTTACAGAGCTCCAAGTTACAACAGAAGAATGTTAATGTTCTGTAATATAAATTACAGCTGTTACATGCTCTACAGGCCAGGGCAATGAAATTTGGAACATAATATATCAAAACATGAATTGTAAATGATGGTTTTAAAATGAAACGTATACATCTTTAACTAAATTGTGCACTGCAATTGACTTCATCCAATACAGGAATATCCTCAGTGTTTATACGGGAAAATATTAAGTGTAGAGAGAATTCTCATAATACATTGATTTAAGCCATGGTGGCTCAGGGGATGAAGCGCTCGCCTGCCGATGAGGTGACACGGTTTTGATCCCAGTAGTAGCGAGTTGATTCATATTCCGCTTTCACCTCGCACCGACCACAGTGCTGGCGTAAAATATCCTCAGTGGTAAACAAATCATGGGTTAGAGTCCCCTAGCCATCAGGCTGTGGAAAGTTTTTGTGGTTTTCCTCTCCACGTAACGCAAATGTGGGTTCTCTCAAAAAATCTTCCATGAAAGCAGAGTTTCTCCCAATATTTGATCCAGAAGTTCCCTAGTATTCTGGATTGGTTTCAAAATTACAAGGCTACTTTAGTAGCCTTGTAATTTTGTTAAAATTTGAACTTTAGTAGCCATTAACCAAAAAAATTGGGTCGGCTGTTTAACTGCATTTATTAAATAAAATAAAATACTTTTCTTTGGGCCACAATGGCTCAGGAGATAGAGTGTTTGCCTTCCAATGAGGTGAACCGGGCTCGAATTCCAGCGATTGCTGATCGATACGAATTCCACATTCAGCTGGCACCGACCACAGTGTTGACGTGAAATATCCTCAATTGTAGATGGATCATGGGTTAGAGATTCTAGCCATCTGGCTAACCTTGAGAGGTTCGCGTGGTTTTCCTCTCCATGTAACGCAATTGCAGATTAGTTCCATCAAAAAGTCCTCCATGAAGGCAAATTTCTCCATACTTGATCAAGGAGTTCCCTTGTCTTCTGGACTGGGTTCAAAATTACAAGTCTACATATTTGAACATTAGTAGTCGTAAACCCCAAAATTGACTTGGTTGTTCAACGTCGGTTATAAAATAAAAATACATTGATTTAATGAAGATTTGTCATTATCAGTGTATTGAGATTTACTGTACAATATTGTTTTAACCATAGCTTACCAATTTTTTTAACCATATGCCTAGCCTGAGCCAATGCGCTGCCTTGCAGTCCCATAAAGATGTGAATTTCTGCCTAGATCAACTTCTAGTAATAACATATTAAAAATTAATTCATCTAATTGTAGCAGAATAAAATAAGGAGGAATAAAATGATTAGATAATTCTTCTGCTACGAATCATAATTTGCAAACTAAGTTGCTACTCATTAAAATAACAAAGCAGAAAAAGAATAATTTTTCTAAAGAACGGTCTTTTAAATGTTTACCTTTTCAGAATTACTTTTTAGATAATAAATTTTATACTTCTGTGTTTGCCTCTGTAGTTCATTAATTCTAGCAGGCGTTATTATGTTTTTGTTTTTTTCAGTCTTATGCTCTCGAAGTTTATCCGAAATTGTGTTTTCCCTAACAAATCCATGTAAAAAAAGTCGTTATCATGTATGAATGAGAACTTAGGAAGAAAACGAAGAGCGTAGAGAGAGAATACTCGTAAATGTCATGTTAACGAGATTTTGCTTAAGTTACGAAATTGAAATTTTAGATTAGCAGAACTCCGAAAAAATTTTGTCGGAATATAAACTATTGCTTTACGGAAGTCCATGAATTAACGGTTTTAAGATTCATGGAATTTAATGAATTAGTTTAAAAATTATTATCATGTGTATTATTAATTGCTCCTTATGTAGGATGACTACAGCTACGAATTGCTAATTTACATCGTTAAGAAATTTTGCTTACAGATAAAATGAGAAAAGACTTATCATCTCAAACAGCATTAGAAGTTTTAATGCAACAGCCAGGCGTCAATGGAATGGTTCTTTAACATAACAGAACATTATTTTAAAACTATGTTTTTAACCACAATATTTATCTTTTTTAAAAAAAGAACTTTTTCTAAATATGAATATTCTGATTGCACATTCTCAAACAGCTAAACTTATATTTTTTACAAATACATACATAACTCGTAAATCAAGGCTGAGTGACCAAAAAATTAAATTCAAGGGCAAATTTTTTTTTAAATTTAAGGACACTGACATTTAGTAATTTTCTCTCTCTGTATATGTACAAAAATTCATTTACAGCATGCTTGCAAACAAATTTAGTCAAAAATTAAAAACTAATTTTTAACTGAAATGGCTAGTTTTCATGAATGTGATTTTTAAAATGGATGAATACGAATCGTGATGTGAAGATTTTTAAATTGCGTGAATATGAATCGCGATGTGGGATTTTTAAATCTCATGAATATCATGAGAAGACTAATTGCACTGTGCGATTTTTAATTTGCAAGAATACTGATTGAGTGAATATGAATGACAATGTGTGATTTTTAAATCTCATGAATAGATTATGAATACAAATCATGATGTATGATTTTTAAATAGCGTAAATACGAATTGTGATGAGTGTTTTTATGAATTGCGAGAAGACGATTCCACGCTGTATGATATTTTAAAATGCTTGAATACGAATTGCGTTGTGACTCCTACTCTAGACAAAAAAAATGAGAAATACCGATTTCAGGATCAAAAGAAGGAGTGATAAAGAACTTCTCTCCCCTTCAACAGATGGGGAAACCTTGGCCAACAGAATTAAAGCTAATTGTATATTATAGTTGTTAATAGTATATTATTGTTTGCCAAGGGGGAAATTCAAGCTTGTAACGTCATGCCTTTATTTCCGATCTTGATAACCACTGATACTTGATGCACCTGTCATATACCTTGACCAGAAGTTGAATCATGGGAACAAAGGTATTTTTGAAAGTTAGGAGTCAGAAATTACAATTGGGTTTAATTTTCAAAGTGTCAAATTTAAATTTTTTGGTGCAAATTATGACTAACAACCTCTTATTTCAGATCCTGATCTCAAAACTTTTACTTTCTGCTGTATATTTGTGAAAAAAACCAACTGAAAAATAAATATTTAATTTGATTTTCTCCTATAGTTTTCTAAAAGTAATTCTAATTATTAAAACTGTGGTTAACACATTGGGAAAAAACAGAACTGTTAAAATTATGTAAACCATTCTAAATTTGGAATTCTGCATATTTTGTTGGGCCTTATTCATTACAATTTTAAATTAAAATTAATATTTCTAGGTATACTTGATTTCAGTTATCTTAAATTTTATGTATTGATCTTACATTAAATGTGTCTTGTTATATTTACTTATAAATATGTTGCATTGAAATTCATTAGTCAATATCTGTAGCAGCCATATTTTTTTATGAAAATTATAATGAAACGGAAATTTTATAAAGAAGTGTAAAACCGTGGCAGCAAAACAAAATTCATTGCACTTCTCTTCTAGTTGTATCGACTTTATCAAGGTTTTTTAGTTTTTGCAGGCATTGTATATTTTAAAAATCACTTTACGTAACATTACCTCCTACTTGTATTTATGAACAAAAAATTAAGGAAAATTTATGAACAAAAATTTAATTATTATTAACTCAATATTTTCTATCAAAACTTAGTAAAAAGTAGCTGTCACAAAACAATTAGCTTTCAAGTATTGGGAATAAAAAAGTTTGTTCTTAGTTTCACTTCTAGTTTAAGTTTTAAATGTAGTATATATTACTTTAGATCATTCTTTTAAGAATTAAATTTTCATATTATGGTGTGTCAATACTGTAGAACCCTAAATATATGGTACTACTTAGGTTATCTGACATCCCTTCCAAAGTGCACTAAAAACATTCTGACACACCTTTCATCATTGATACAGATAGTGTTACCCAATTACTCTTGAGACTTTCAATCCAACATTTGTCTGCTAGAAAACAAAAATGTATCATTTATTTATTTTTTCATGATTTCTAAGTATATTGTCATTTATGATTTTTAAAAAAAATTAAGTTTGAAGTGATTCTTTTTAAACTTTATTGTAATTTTGTACTTATTTTGAGTAATTTCACTCTTTAGCGTTTTTAACTTTATTTATTTCCTTGTTATTTACATTTCAAAACTTAATGGAATATGAAATGTATGGAAATTTCAGTTGCTAATTTGATAAATAATTCTAAATTTTTTAAAGCTCAATTTTTATTTTGGCATCTATTTCTTTTATATTCTCTTATAAATTAAAATATAATATGTAAATGTTCAAGCTCTTTCTTGATATTTAGTATAAAGCAATTATTAATTGTATTTTCAGAAATGTGAAGGACTGCTTGCTCCTGAGTATAGAAGATTCAGTGTTGATCCACAAATTACTTCTTTTGAAGTTTTGCAGAGTTTATTAGCTCGTGCATTTGATATTAAAGGGTAGGTTCAAGTTTAATTACTTAGAGGAAATATATTTTAACAGGATGTTAGAATGGCCAATTACAGTCAATTTTTAAAAAAATCTAAATGCATTCAGACTGTTTCTTTACAATTGCCGTACTGTGAAAGCCATTACATTTTCGCTTCCATTTGAATTTTCATAATTAAATCCAATGATTTTAGATGGTAAATAACTATGTGAGTACAAAGATCAGCATAATAAATTGTGCCCTAATGTAGCTTCATGAAAATGTAGAAATCATATTTTTATAATATTTTCTTATAATAATACATATAATAATTTATATGGTACTCACTGAAACATTTTTATTGACGGTTCTGAATATTGAAGATTTTTTAGTTCAGTAAATTAGGGGTTAGAATGAGTTATGGATGCCTGATATTAGTTAGTAAAATGATGTATTATAAATACGAAATAATTTTATTCTTTAATTTTTTTAGCCATGTTAATCTTAGTTTTAAGGCATAATTGTAATTATTTTCATGTTAAGTGAAAAAAAGGTAGAATGAATTTTTTATATTGAATAGTTTTAGATTTTAAAAATGTAGAAAAGCTTAAGTTATTGTTTTTTTTTTTTATTATTTATTCTAGCTTGAATTTAATGCAAGGAATTATCTTCAACGTAGCAGTAACCTTTAAAAAAATTATGATCCCAGTAAAATTTTCAATTCATTCTTTAAAAAAAATTAAGCGAAAAAAGGAAGAAATTAATATATTCTAGTAGATTTTATTAACTTTATTTTAGTAATTGCGTTAATATATGTTATAAAAGTATTGAAATCAAGCATATGCATTTATTTAGTTTTACATTAGGGACACAGGAATTAAATTTTATAAATGCATATAAAAATAATTTTTCACCATAGCAAAATTCCTATTTACTCAAAGAATAAAAATGGTACGAAATGATGTTAACATTACTCTATATTTCAAATCTAGATTAGAATTTCTTTTTATTTTGCATTAGTTTTTTTTTTTAATTCTTTAGCTTTAGTGAAACAAAAACGTCTAGCTTAATAATATTTGCCAAAATTATGTGACTAAATTAAATTACATTAATTGAAATTTTAGGTATAAGCACATAGACTGTAACAATAATGATGGGCAGATATATTTATGGACTATATTCTTGAAAGTGTTAATTCTTTTCGGCGATACCGATAGCTTAACCTGATATTTTATCACCTGTTTTAATTGAACTTTTTTCATTAAAAATGTATAATGCATTAATTTTACTATTTTAGAATTCATCTTTGAAAGCATTAGAAAATAGTTTGCAGAAATAAGGAGAAAAATTAACAATAAATACTATATTGCAGGAAGAGGAATTAAAATTTAAAAGTAAAAATAATTTTCGAACTATAGCATAAATTCCTATTTACTCAAAGAATAATATTGAGTATAGACATGAGCATTAATGTGCATTTAAATATTTAATACATAGTAAAAAAAAAAGAAAATAAACTCTATTAGTAAATATTTACTTAAGAAAATCCTTTAACTCTAGTAGGAAAAAGTCAAAATAAATGATTTTTCAAATTATAGACTGATATCTCTATTGCCCTTAATATCTATAAAATTTTGAAAATACAGTGGAAAGTCCAATATCCGGAATCGTCGTGACTTCAGTAAGTCTGGAAAATAGATTTTTCCGGATAATAGGTCCTTACGGTAAACAAACATCCTTATTCATTAAAAATAACACATAGACAATAATTAATGTCAATTTCAATCTGCATCATGCATATAAATCCACATGATTTGTGTGGTTGAGCAATTTTCAAAGTTTTTGTTACTGATTTCCACATGGTTTTTAAAATGTTGATACTTTAATATGCCATTATAACATATTGCGAATTCCGAACTGTACATTTAACTTAGTAATCATTTCTCAATCCTCTTGATAAGCGACGATTCCACAGAGAATACACTTGATTTTGTTAATGGTTTTTCCAGTAGTTATTAAAACAGATTTTCTCTTGGTTTTAGAAATCTTGATGTTTTAATACGATATTGTTTTGTTCAGTAAACTTTAAATCGCGCATTTCACACTCAATTATTGATAATTCACCCGCAATCCCAGGTGGATTTACAATCTCTTTTTTTTTTTCAGTAATTGCTAAGGAATTTCATAGTGCTTTAATTCTGCATTATCATACATGGAAAATTTCAAATGGATTTTATTGTACACGTGGTTTTCTCGATCATAATTTCAACAGTTTGAGATTTCCACATAGTTTTTATAATTTCGATTTCATTTTTAATATTATCCTCGAATTCCAAATCAAGCTTCTGAATAATCGCTTTATGATCCACTTTAGTTGTGATGAATTTATCTCAAATCCGCAATTTTTAAAATGTGAAATTTTTGAGCACTTTGAAATTGAGTGAGTGATTCTTGGCTCTAATAATCCTTGAATGAAATGAACCATGAGAAAAAAATGCTAGATTTTTTTTTTGTGCTGTATTGAAATGCTGAATTTTGTTTCTGAGAACTATGATTTCTTTTTCACATTGTATTAAAATCAAACAAAAATTGCAGATTGGCTAAAATATCATAAAGAAACAGAAATTGGTGGAAAAGTGGAGGATTCTCATCACTGCATACTTTTTTTTAACAGGTCGCGAATGTAAAAAAAAAAAATAATAATAATTATTTTGAAAGTGGAAAAGAGTTTTGTTTATTTTGATTGTTAAAAAGTAAAAAGTGTCCGGAAAAGAGCCCTTTCCAGTAAATGGACGTCTGGATGCAAGACTTAGTACTGTATTATTAAAGATAGATTTTTTCTTATCTACATAACAATTCCTTTTTTTTCTTCTAAAAGTCAATTTTGTTTTTGACCCAATTCAAACACTGAGGAAATGTTATTTCAATTTATTAAATTTAGTTGGAACAATATGGATGAAGATAAAAGGACCATAGCTTTCTTTTTAGGTATATTCGAAGCGTTTGACAGCATTGATTGCAATATCTTGCTATATAAATTGCATTCAATAGGAGTAAAAGAACATTGTTTAGTTTGTAAAAACTAACAAAATATTCATTAAAAAGCGTCTAATGAAACACAGTGTTTTCCAACGTTCAAATTTGGGGCCCTTATTAGTTTTAATTTTTATCAATAATTTATGCAAATTAACACTGATTTAAATCTCAACATCAATAAAACTAAATGTATGATATTTTTATCTAAAACAAAATCTTATTGAGAATTTCACAATAGCATACCACGAGACTACTTGTAAATTAAATGGAAAATTAATAAAATAAACTTATTGAAAAAGTTAATTCGATAAAGTATCTTAGTATATATATTGATTCAAATCTTAAATAGAAATCTCACATTAACTATTTTGTTAAATAAGTTAAGATTTTAAATTTACAATTTTTATTATAAAATATAGAGTTAGCAAAAACTTTTTAAGAGTTCTTTATTACTCATGGGTTCATTCGCAAATAAATTATAGTCTAGAAATTTTGAGTGGTCACCACTCAAAATTTCTGGACTATAATTTATTTGCAATTATTATACAAATATTATTATACAAATATTGAAGGACTTGATGTACTTCAAAAGAAATTTATAAAAATCTTATAGGTATATATACTGTAATATCCTGTGTATTATTTGCAGCTGCGTATAATTCGCAGAGACTATTTCAAACCCAACAAATGAAATTTTCAGCAGCTAAATCCACCATCCTATAATCCACGGATTATATGGTGGTTTGTTTAACTCTTTTCACTGACAGAATCTATGTCATATGTGAGCAACATGCGATCATGTTTAAAGGGCCTTAACACTGGATGCGAAAAAATCCCGTAGGCGAATTCAGAAACTCGTTGCCGAGAACTTGATTGAAATGTTTTTCGTATGTAAATATACGTCTTGAAATTTTTTCATTCATTTTAATGGCCCCTTACACTCTAATGGCTGATGATAGTTGATAGAAAATCGTGATGTCTGCGATGAGAAAATAATTTTGGCAGATAATCCCTGGCACTATGTGACAACAATCCACGTTTTGAACAGGTAATCTGCAAAGTATATGCCAGAAGTTATGGTTCTATAATAGATATTAACCATTTTAAATCCTTAAACTTTTTTCTATAAAATCTACATATTTCTGCAACTAAAACAAGTGTAAAAACACGGAAATATCAACCCACGCAGACTTACATAATATACCAAAGATTATGCAAGAACCTCAGTTTATTTAGCTCAAAAAATTTCAATAGTATTCCCACGGTTTTACAGAACGCTTTAAACAACGGCTTATTCAAATGGAGGTCAAGTTTTTTTTTTATTTTGAATTAACAATATTGAGAACCTTTTCTAACTTTATTTTTCACCCTTTATATTTCACGAAATATGTATCTGTAAATTTTTACTTTTATTGAACAACACCCAGTTTTCCACTACATAGTATGTTTTGTTCATTGTACTTATGTATTTTTAGTTTTATGTTTAGTCTTTTTATTTCTTTGCATGAATTTAATATTAATAGCTATTATGGTTACATTATGAACCATGTAGCCGAACCATGGTCCAGGACGAGATGACCGAAATATTTCTTGTTTCTTTACTTGTAAATGACAATTATTATATTAATCAATTTTTTTTTTAAAGTTGGGATTTTCCCATTTTTTCTTGAATTACATAAAAAATTGATTTTATTTTATTTATTTATTTTGATGTGATAACGATTTGTTAAGTGTGATAAAGGAGGAATATGACATTTTTTTCGATGTTTATATTTTATCTGTTAATGGGAAAAAATTAATTAGACAAAAAAGAATTTCTTTTTCTCTTTAAATTTTAGAATTGTTACTTTTTTGCAGAAAAATGAGTTTTTTATTTGTTTATTTTCTATACAAAAAAACATAAAAAATTAAGCTCTAAAATAAATTGAGAAAAAAAAATTCAGATAAATTCTTCTTCTAGCAATCTAAATTATATATTACTAATATAATTATATATTGCAAATAATCCTAACAAGGGAGCCGGCAGAATAATATTAAAGGGGGTACAACACTCTAACAAACTAGCCCCCGCCCCCAAGAAAAGAAAAATTGAAAATATTCTGTTATTACATTTTGTTTTGTTATTACACTTTCATCGGTTAATTTTTTCATCTGTTTTAATAGAAAAAATTCTTATTAATTCTTTGAATACATCGATTTAGTTATTCGGGTCACACCGTTTTATCCAGCTGTAGCGGAGGCAATCAAAATTGGTTTAGCTCTTCCAGCTACTATGTGCACTATTGAATGCACTTTTAATACGATGCAACGCATCAAGCCATGGAATTGGTCAACAGTGTCTCACTAGAGATTAAATAGTTAGTGCACGCTCAGTGTGCATAAGAAAAGAATCGAAGATGACTCATAATTCATTGAAAAAGTTATAAACAGATTTGGACAGCTAACAAGACGATTAGAATTCTTGTTTGATTAATTGTTATTTATCAATACCGTAATTTATGGAAGAAACGCCGCGGCGTTTACGAGTTAAAAAGTTTTAACATTTTAATTGCGGAGTTTTGCCGGTTGTGGCGTTTACGATATTTTAAAAATAAATTTTACATTTTTCAAAGAAAATAATTTTTTTTAATCAAAATAGTTGCGAATTATGGCAAAAGATGGCGCCAGCATTGATAACCCACCACCCTTTAAAGAAAGTGGGTTGATCTCGATCTAGTTCCCGCCAAACCGCGTGGTTGATAGCTCTTTCACATTTTTTCTCACTTTGTTCAAAGTGCTTTGTGGAGAAATTTAATTGCGGAAAGTTTTCTTTTTAGTATTTGCTATTATTTATACATCGTTGTTATGGACGCGACTTATAAACTGACATCTTCTTATTTAAATAAAGGAGGTATATTCCCAAAAAATAAATTAATTAAATTAAAAAAAATATATATAAAATGTAAATATGTAGTACAGTATGGAACCCGAAATTCGGCACTTAATCCGACCAATTTTTTTTTCTTTCCTTCCTTTTTTTNAATTTTTATCGATAAGAGAAAAAAAATCAGTCATATTTTCTTTTTATTTGGAATTTTTTTCTCTTGAAGTAAGTAACTATATTTTATCTTTTAAAAATAAAAACCTGAAGAGAAAAAATAATAAATCTGTGTCAAACAGAACATCTGTTCCTTAAGTAGTTTAAAATAAAGTGAAATTGAAAAGTAAAAACGTCTGCATTTCCAATGAACAAAATAAATAAATGCAAGTTGGGAGAAACTGATGAATCAATCTTGACAGATGTGCAAGTGCTTTACTGGTTTGTCCCCCCCCCCACATTTCCCTCTTCTGTTTGACCATAAATTAGCCACACCCCTTTGACATTGAAACTTCTTTCTCACTTGGTGTACAAAATGAATTCTTGGTGTACAAATGAATGTTACTTTTTTTTTGTTAACTTGTTTTTTTTTTATCGTTATTCTTCTTTTTTGTAGTTATTCATTGTTAGTTTCTTGCCATTAATTGTTACTTTTTTTGTAGTTCCTTGTTAGCTTTTCTTTTTCCGAGGTGAGCCTCTTTTGTTAAAACAAAATGTTATGTAAAAGAAAAAACGAGAACAATGATCTCGCTCTGAAGAAGAAACGATTATTTCTTTTTCGGATTATTTCATCTTGAATTATTTATCCTTCGGATTATTTCTTCTTGATTATATCTTATAGATTATTATTTTAATTAATGAAATTTCTAAAGATGGGACAGTTTTAAATTCACCCCATCAAAATCTACAATTGAAACTTAGCTAAATTTATTGGTTTTTCTGAAATTAACAGCGTAATTGAATTATCGTAATATACGGGCGCCATATTGGAATTTCCGGAAGAGATCCGAAATTCTGTAAATTCCGAAATACGGAATTTCGTCGGTCCCGTGAGTGCCGAATTTTGGGTCCTATACTGTAATGTAAAAAAATCATTTCTATTAAAGTAGCCCCGCAGTGGACTGATCGCTAAGACACGGTTCCCAGCAGATCACCGAAGTCAAGCATCACTGACTACGGTCAGTGTGCGGGTGGGTGACCACTTGGATCAGTCTGCGTAGGGACCGAGGGTGTGCGGTATTGGTCCTCGTTAAACTGTGCTACCGTAAAGTGCTCGACTTTGTGCGCAGGTCGTTGGGCTACCAAAGCGGGGGTCCTCCCTCCGCAGAGGATCAAAATTGTGATGGCATGTCTTCGGATCATTCTCCGTGATGTTTCCCAGACCGTCGCCAATAGCCCATTGTGCAGCTCTAGTGCGACGTAAATTAACAACAACAACAATCTATTAAAGTAATATAAATATAGTTATTTAAATTTCTTACCTAACGATGGCACCAACAGCCGATTGTAACATGTTCTGAGCAGTTTGTCCAAAATATACAATCGCAGATTACATTCTTGATTTTATTATAATTATACATTTATAAATTTTAATTTATATTTTAATTTAAAACATTAGTAGTATTTATAAGGAATTAATGTTATATATTCATTTTTGCCACTAAATTGTTATTATGGGTGCGGCGTTTACCATGATTTTTTTTCTTTTAAATCTCATTATCACAAGTGTGGCGTTTACGATAGGTGCGGCGTTTCTTCCATAAATTACGGTAATTACTTAATTATTTGTTTTTGAATAAAAATATTTTTAATAAAAAAAAAATAATAGCAAAATTGTTTTTCTGTATCTCGTTTTTTAAAAAAGCCAGGGGGGTGCAAGTGCCGGCACCCTTGATTACTAATTAGGTAATGTAAATTTTTTCAAAAACTAATGGGGGCACATTTCTCATCTCTTTACTGGTAAATTGTAGATATAAATAATGTGATTCATAATTTTGATGAAACCTTTTTTTTCTGATTTGTTTTATTTGTAGATAAAGGTATAGTTTTTTGACATTATTTATTTTACTATTGTGGGAATTTTATCTCTTATCTAATTTTTCCCCAAAAAGAAATTATTTTTTATAACAGGCAGTGACACAAAAATAACGCTTTTTTTGAAAATGACCACATAAACTAATCCGGTTTCCAACACAGAGAAAAATAAAATTTCTATATTATTTGGTAGTTAACATCAATAATTATTTGAAAACTTAGGCCTATTTTTAACTTAGGCCTATTTTTTAATTGATGACTTCTGATGTTAAAGATTAATATTTTCTCTTTTTAGTGAATTCTCTATAAGCTATTATGCTAGAGATGAGGAGGGTAAAGATACTTATCTGTCTTTATTATCTGACTGGGATTTAGATGCTGCATTTTTAGGATCTTCTGATCCATGTTTACAGTTGAAAGTAGATTTAAAACCCTTTGAAGAAGGTAACTGTTTTATGGTATCTTTCATCTTACTTTTTTATTGTGTTAAATTAAATAATATTAATTTTTATATCATCTTATTCTTTGTATCATGTTAATATTTTAATTTAAATGTGTGTTAAAGCAAAACATATTTTTTTTCTTTTTGAGGGAGTAAAATGGCGTGCCTATTGTGCTTAAAGCTGTGTTTTGAAAGTTTTGTTATTGCATGAAATGATGCTTTTTTACTATTAATATGCTATTTCCATAATTGCTGTGAGTTTGCAACAGTTTCGCGTGATTGTTAGGTTAAGTTTAAGATATAAAATTCAGTATTCGGCCCTTTTGCTGAATATTCGGTTGGCCGGATATATTTTTCAAATGTGATAATATTATGGTAACTATTATCAACAATAAATACCACAGTTAAACAATTCTGCAACCTTTATTATTACACAATGCTATGTGAGTGTTATATCCTTATTGTTATAGTTTCGTAATAGCTAATTGTTTTTTTAAAGCTTGGATTAAGAAAAAGTTATTTTTCAATTGATTAAAAAATATTGTCCAATTTTAGAATAATGTAAGCTAATTAAATTGTATAAATATTTCAATATATTGTGAATTATTTCTGACTATATATTGTGATATTAAAATTCATGCACTCCTAAGCACTATTTGTAATCAGTGATCAGCAGCAATAATAGCATTTCTCTCTAATCAACAACTATCAATACTTGCTGATAAATTTGAAATTAAACAGCTGTCCTAAACAACATCTCATTTCTAAAAATTAGTAATCAATAAATTGTTATAATTAGTAAAACACAATACAATGCTTTCTTTCTCTCATAGCCATCATATTTTACTTTTAAATTTACAAAAATTATTTTTGAAAATAATTTTTTAAATAATTTATTCAAATGTGACAGTAAAAACAGATATGCTTATTTATGTTTGCATCTATATTTCTGCAGATTTTTATTGTAGTACAATCCAATTCAAATTACTTGTCTAATGAATAATAATAAGATATGTTTGCTGGCCTCTGGAAGGGTTCAAACCAAGGACCTCTGGGGTCATGAAATGATGCTCTGACCACCATTTAAAGGATTGTACATCTTGACCAGGATAAGTTAGGGAGCTCTATGCTGTAGTTGCCGCTACTCCAACTCTAGTGAACGAGAATATCTGACTCATCTGTTCTAAGAGTTTCGTGAGACTGAGAGACCCCATGATTGTGAATGATGTCACCATTCTGGTGCAGTTGGTGTTTTGACATAGTTTGAGATCCAGTAGATTCTATTTGTTGAATCAAGGTGAACTGTGGAATGAGGCAAAGTAGTATATTTCTGTTATGTGGCAAAAAGTGAGGAAATTGCATGTTCGTTGTCTGTTGTCACCATGTGAAGTTTTAAGAGACAGATTTTCATTAACTTCTGGCAAGGTTCGAACTAAGGACCTCTGTGGTCATAGCCAGATGCTCTAGCTGCCTTGGAAAAGGGTGTACACCCCTGACAGGGTGAGTTAGGAAGCTTTATGAAGTAGTCACCACAATATCATTCATGGGTCATTCTCACTGAAAAGGTATAAATAGACTAAAAGAATTTCTTAAATTAAAGTAATTAAAACAGTGATAAAAATTACATAAATGCCTTTGTTTATTTTTGTTATATGTCCTTATAATAATGGTCAAGTTTTCTATTTTATTTTTTACAAGATTTAAAATATTTTAAATTCTGCCTTGTCCACGGAGGAGATGTAATAGTCAACGGAGGAGACATTTTATGTTATAAAATATAAAATGTCAATGAAGACTAATTCATTAATTATTGGGCACAACTGATATGAGTTTAACATTAATAAGTAAATAATAAAATATTTCATGATTAGAGATAGAGCTACTTCCGATTAATCATGCTGCTATGAAAGGAAACATCCATTTTTAACCTAGGTGTACAATTTTTTAAGTAACTCTTACTGAATATTAATAAATTAAAATGTAAAGACTATTGAAATAAAAATTCAGACTCCACATGAAAGTTGAGTGTTGAGGGTACTCTTTTATGAACATTTTATGCAAGTTAAACATACTGTCATCCAAATAACGTTTTTGTTTTTTCTCTTTTCTTCTTGTTATTGTTTCTTTTTTCCCTGGGCACAAACGGCTTGCTCTATCAATTTCTAGAAATTTAAGTACATTTAATCACGATTTTTCTGTTAAATCTTTTTCTGATACAGATTTTAAAGTTTCTTGCTCTTTTTTTTTTTAACTTTCTTCAAACAATATAGGGTTTTCTTTTAATTTCTGTCTAGCTTGTCTCATACTAAGTTTTTTCTGTTCCCTTCTCTTTTGCATTTGAACATTTGATTGCTTTCTTTTCTTAAATTTTGGTTTTGCAATTTTTTTCCTAAAATTTGAAGAGAAAAAAAATGTTAAACATCACAGAAATTATTTAGAAAAATTGCCAATATTTACTTCTCCGATAAGAAAAAGTTAAACTTAATTGATTTTCTTTAAAAATAGAAACAAATTAACACATTTGTTCCATTTTAAAAAATATCAATTAAAAGAAAATAGTTTTTTAATTATTAAAATTGTATTATGGTTATCTAACACATTGTCTCTTACATTGACTGTGTCTTCTCCTCCGTGGACTTGTTATGTCCACGGAGGAGACAAAAACTAGTTCTTGAATTTTTCTGATTTTTAATTTTAAAGTTACAAAAATGGGGCAGTTCTTTTTGTTAAATATACTATTTTTGCAATCTAAAATTCATCTATCAAAAATAAAATAATTTTCTCTTACCTTCTTTATGATGTCCACGGAGTATACGGTGAGAACTTTGCCAAACCCCAGTTGAACACAACAATCCAAAACTGACACCAAAGAGAACAAAAACAACTGATATTTAACATTAGAAAATGGAATGGTTACCCATCCCAGCAGCTGTCTTATAGGGATTTTGCATATGCTGCCCTTTATTACATATTTACAGAACTATATTAATTGTCCACGGAGGGAGACATCATTTTTGATGGACAAAGTTTACTAGTCATTTATTTTATAAAAATAATCTTTTTTTTTTAAATATTAAATGCAAAGTTACTATAAACATTTAACTAGGTAAAACTACAAAAATTATTAAAATAACATTTAAATTGTTTAACAGCCATTAAAAATTATTTTGTGTCACAGACGTAGGGACGTCCACGGAGGGGATTTTGAAGTTATGTTTATTAAAAAATAAGAATGAAATATTAAATACATTTAGCAGAAATGCATATGGTTTGTTAGTTAAGAACTTCACAAAAAATGATAAAGAAAAATAATAAGAAATCTGCTGTATTTCCTAATATTTATTACTCAGGGACTTAAAAAATCACCTTTTTGTGAGAATGACCCTCATAAGCTTTTTATTTTGGACGTAACTCAAAATGTCTTTTTACAAAAATGTGAAAAGTTTTTAAGAAAAGGTACTACATAGCATTTGATTGTTTTCAACTTGACATTTCCGTTAGTCAAATTCTAGATAGTAGGGCTTTAACTGTATTAGCAATTTAACTTAAACTTAAAAAAAATGCAAATTACTGTTCTCAGATGCTATAATCAACAACTCTGCCCCTAGCAACAAAAAAAAAGAAGACATACAACTACAATAAGAGGTAAGAAAGAAATGATCCTCAATTTAAACAACTTATAATCTAGTGCATAATGTCTATTTCAATAGATTGACACATTTGATGCCTTTGATCCGTGTATTGTTAGAAGTATAGTGGTATCTTATTCTGGTGTTGTGTTATTTAATGGAACTCAGCTCTGCCAATAATTGCTTGCAAAAGACAAAAAAGTCTTTTTTTTTTGCAAAAAGCTTAGAATAGAAATTAGTTAAATGATATAAAGTGCTATTTTTTTTTAAAAAAAAAAGTTCTTTCTTACTTAATAACTATACAAATAATAACTTAGAAATTTCAAATGACCGGAAATCATAAATTCTTCTGATTTATTTATGCTTTTTAACTAATTTTTTTTGAATGAATAGATGCATAATTTCTAATTGAAAGTTATTTTATAAACATTTATTAAGAAATCTAATTGCCTTATCTTAAATAACAATGATTTCTATTTTATATATAATATCTGCTATTAGATTCATATTGTGTGAGTTATTATAAATCTATATTTAATCAATTAATATTTTAAGGCTTAGAAGACTGGGATGTCGTGGCACCCAATGACATAAATCGCAGCAACAATACAGGCTTCATATTGGATCGATCTTCGATTACTGGTACAATTCTTAATCATGTAAGTGATTGCATACAATTTTTGGTGTATTTGTTTAAGCAAGTGCACTTTTTGTTTTATCAAATATTTCAGGATTTCTTAAAATATGTTGTACAAATATATTCTGTTCCATTCAAAAATTAGAGTAAACAATATAATTCATGTGTTTCATTATTTTTTAGATTTTGTTACTATTACACCCACAAAAGCATCCCCCTCTCCAACTAGTGTTCTTGAAAGAAACAATTTAAGTACTTAAACACTATTAAGATTTAACTTGCTCTCTAAGTTTATTTCAAATTTCTAACTGTGTAGAGTTTTATGCTTAAATATATAGATTGGTTGCTTATCATAGGGCATAAAATTAATTTGTAACTGATTTCTTTTTAGTTGAACTTCTTACTTTTTGAAATTCAACTGAAAAAAAAATAAAAAAAGTTTTGCTATTCTTAGTTTTATTTGTTACAATTACTATATGAGTTTATCTACTTTTAAAATCTGAAATTGCTATCCTTGTTTATAACTTCAGCTTCCAGTCAGTTTTTCTAATAACTAAAGAATAACTTCAAAGTTAGTTTTTTTATTTTTAGGTGGAGAAGACATTTAATATGGTCCAGAGAGCTTTAAATCTTTCTGATGGAGATAGTGAAGTTGAAAGTTTCAAACCAGTGAAGCAGCCAATGGTAGACTCAGAATTTCATATATACTTAGATGGAGAGGGACGTTTAGTGAAGCCCAGGGAGCTGCGACTATCAGTTTATCAAAGAGGGATTGATCCTTCATTAAGAAAGGTAGTTTGGAAACATATTTTGAATGTCTATCCTTATGGTTTGTCAGGTAAAGAAAGAATTGCATACATGAAGCAACGTTCTTTAGAGTATCAAAAATTAAGACAAACATGGCAAGACATGATTGCTAATGGAAATTTGACTGAGGAAATTCAATATGTGACAAATATGGTTAGAAAAGATGTTCTACGTACAGATCGCACTCATAGATTTTATGCTGGTTCAGATGACAACAAAAATGTTGTTTCGCTTTTTAATATTTTGACAACATACGCATTGAATCACCCTAGTGTATCTTATTGTCAGGGTATGAGTGATTTAGCATCCCCTATTTTAGTAACTATGAAAGATGAGGCGCATGCTTATACTTGCTTCTGTGCTTTAATGCAAAGACTGAAACCTAATTTTCATCTAGATGGCAAAGCAATGACAGCTAATTTTCAACAGTTAACTGAACTTCTTGAACATTATGATCCTCATTTTTTTGAATATCTTAAAACTCAAGGAGCTGATGATCTTTTATTTTGTTATCGTTGGTTGTTATTGGAACTGAAAAGAGAATTTGCGTTTGATGATGCCTTGTCTATGTTAGAAGTATTGTGGAGTTCTATTCCTCCCTCACCTCCTGAGAAAGAATTATCAATGTATGAAGAACTTTTTTCTTCGAATACATTTCGCCCTCAATCTCCTCGAATACACAGTAGAGAAAATCCATACACAAAAGTACGCGCAATTAGAAAACAAAATTCTGCTTCATCAATTCGGGGCTTAATCAAAAGTAATAGTAGAGAACTTGAAGAATCAAATGAAGAAAAGCATGTTGAATATTCTCCCAATGGAGATGTAGAAGTCAACCCCCCATGCACATCCCAAGAAGAAAGCACATTATCACTAAGTCGTAAAAATAGTGTTACAGATATAAGTACAGATGATTCTCAAGATTATTTGCCAATGACTACATCAATGACTCGAGAATTAAGGATGGAACTAGAAAATTTAAACAGACAGCTTCCTGGTTCATTTCTTCATAGATCAATTACCATTGATTCTGAGGACTTAGACTCTCCCCGTTCACCAGATTGTTTTGATTCAAATAGGGAAAATTTGAGACATTCTCAATATACTAACAATATTGATTTAGCTGTCACTGATGAAGCTGCTGAAAGTTGGACAAGTGATGATTTATCTGGTATTGACCAGATTTGTAGAGTGGGCTCTAGAAAAGGTCAAAAGCACCCAGAATATTTACATTTAAATGGTAGTGAAGGAGGTGAGGATTCCAATTACTGCTGTACTCCAGATGAACAATTTGATTTAGATCTTGACATTCAAACCAAATCTAATTCTGATATTCCTTGTAATGGAGAAATTTTAGAAAATGAAGAATCTGAAGATAAAGATGGTTGTGCCTGCCACTTAAAATCAGTTATTCCTATTAGACTTGTTCATAGCCCAGGTATTGATAACAGATTTCAAAGACATGACAGTGATAGCTCTGATTCACTTTCTGAAAGTTGCCCTGGAAGAATTGAAAGTGATCAAGAAACTTTGCCTTTAAATAGTCAAAATTCCACTTACATACCTAAATCTAGTTTATCTAAAGAATGTAGTGAAAAGTTCAATAAGAGAAAAACTAGTGGCATTTTTCAAGATTCTAGTGATGCTATGACAAATTCTTGCATTGAAGCTCTGGAATATAGTGGAAAGTGTCAAAAAGTTTCTCTTCCTCCACCATATGAACTTGGAGGAGGCAATCCTTTCATGTTGTTTTTGTGCCTCACACTTTTACTTCAACATCGTGATGTAATAATGAAAAGTCGAATGGATTATAATGAGTTAGCAATGCATTTTGATAAAATGGTGCGTAAGCATAATGTTCATCGAGTCTTGCACCAAGCTAGATCTATGTTTAGAGAATATTTGCAAATGAGTTGTCAAGAAAAGGACTCTGATCCATATGTTTGATATTTCAATAAAAATCTGTAGATGTAAAACAAATCAGTATTACACCTATGATTACATGGATTTAGGCGGTGCATTCCAAATAAATGCAATTTTTACAGTAAACTTAAACTGTTAAGAAATACGAATTTATTTTACATGATGCTACAAAAAACATTTTCCCTCTTTTAAATTGTAGATATTAAGTTTGTTACTATTATGAAATAAATTATCTAATTACTGAGGGTGTTACTTAAAGGATATCAGAATAAAAACAATTAATTAAAAATTGGTATTTAAACAAAAAAGAATTTAAATAAGGATTTTCAGGGATTTGTTTACTCTAAAACAGATTTATACAAATTCTTTAATTTCATTTTTTGAGTTAAAAAATTTAAATTAACTCTCTTTTGTATTGCTAAGATTTTTGATTGAGTAAAAGCATTTTAAATACCAATTTTATATGTTAGTCATTTCAATCCAATGTGTTATCATTATAAAATAAACTTGTCACATTCTGTATTAAGGGGATGATATTTAAATAAAAGCAAGTCATTAAATTTGTATTCTAAAGAAAAAAAAATCCTCTGTGTAAAAAAAACATTTAGAGGAATTCTGAACAAGTTTAGTAGTTAAGTAGCACATTTAACTGTACTTAATCTTTTAATTTCATCATCCTACTTGTGAAATGCTTTCCATGTCTATAATGAAAATGTTTGTATTCTATTTATTCAAATTATATTGTTCATTAACTATTTTTTTAACATTAATTATTCAAATTATATGATTTACATTTATTTACAAGTCCTCCTTTTACTTGTTTATCTAGTCACAATTTTATATATATGCTCTAGTTTTGTTTCTTCACTTAAAACCTTAAAAATATTGAAGCATTTATTTTATCTATGTTACAAATAGTGTCTGTAAATATACTATTGGTTAACAATATAAGATTCTTTGTAACTCTTGTATTTCAATTATCTTGATTAAGGTGCCTGAAACATAATTTTTTATTAACATTTTCTACCAAATTATCATCAGGGATAGCAGATGCAACAAAATTCCATAAAGGCAGGAATAAAAGAGAAACATGTTGAAACTAATTGTTAATACACCCATAAAAGTGCAATCTTAATAACTGCATCCACAAGCTCCCATGCTCCAACATTCTATTCTAAATGCTAAACATTTAAATCCAGTTTAGTGGTAAATTAACTGAGTCTACTCTTAAGGTAAGATGCTTGAATTATCCACATTAGATTTAAATCCTTGTCCTTTTAATTGCATATAAAGATATGTTTAATGCAAAAACTGCATGCAGTCTTTTTTTTGTGTGTGTGTGTATTTAGTTAATATTGTGAGAAATCTTGTTTGCGTTTGGCAACTTAATAGTGTATTATTACAAAGGTTGTTAATTTAGGGAACTAAGGTAAATGAAGAATACTATCTTAAATTGGATAGCAATTCTGAAGACCGAAAAAAATTTATTTTAATATCATAAATAAGTTTAGATATACAAATTTTAGGAGTGCAAAATTCTTTTTCTGACAAATGAGTAATTTTTGTTTAAATGTTTTTTAGTAAATTCAAATATTGAAGCAATTATATTAAAATAATATTTAAATTTTGTCACACATTTGCAATAAATTAATATGATTTATTTTCAATGCTAGATGTTAGTAATGAAGAAATTATTTTATAAAAATGACTGGATAAACAATGTTAATATTTATCAAAATATTGGAGCCAGTGGTTGGAAAAACTATATTATTTTTGTTGTTTACTATATTTATAACTACTTTATTACAAATGTAGTTAACTACAACTACTTTTTTCTTAAATGTAGTGACTACAAACTACTTTGGAATTGTAGTGACTTCTTCGCTACTTTAAGAAACCAAACTTTGGAGAAATTAATTTACTCCTGTATTATTTACACTGCTGAAGAAATTAATTTACACATTATGTTCAAAATGCTTTTGAATAAAAAATTGGTTTTTATTAAACAAAAAGAATTATTTAGAAATATTTATTAATGATAATATATTTATACATGAGACAGTTTGTTATTCTAAAACATTTTTCTTGAATTTGTTTATTTAGTCTTCAACTTTTATGTCCTTCTTGACAGCGAATATTTAATTTAACAAATGCTAGAAATTATCAAATACTTGTAAAATTACAAGTTATTAAATTATCAAATTATTAAATCATTAAATTATCAAATATTTCATACTTAAATTATCAAATATTTCATACTTTAAATACTTGCAATTTCATTAAGTGTTTAATGCTTTTTCATTTCCTCTAAGAAATTAAGTACATCGAAAACATGTTTCCTTCCTTTGAAATAACATCACTGTTTTACAAGTGTATATTCGCATGTGAAAGTGTGACCAAAGTGATAAATTAACTATTATTCAGAATGGCTTACTTAAGTATTAGTTATATGTGACTCTAAATACGCAATTCTTGTCAACTCACAGTCACATGGGCATTTAAAACTGCGTTCTTTGACAAACCTGCAAAGATATGTACCCGTCAAATTCAAAAAATTAGTTGTGTTAGAACCCTGTTCATGTTCTAAACTAACGTAAAAAAGTAGTTGCCAGGAATCGCTACGAACTACTATTTTTTGTATCACAATATTCACTACACTACTTTTATAAAAGAGTAGCGACTATAGTTTCACTACTTGTAGTACGCTACTTCCGACCACTGATTGAAGCAGTAATAGATATTGTGAATGCATTTCATAATTTTCTTTATTATAACCTTCCTAGTACATTTTTCTGTTCTTTCCCCTCCAGTGCTCTCACTAAGAGACAAAGTTTTCAGAATGTTTTTCTTTAATGCACCATGATCTAACTAGATTGGATAACCAATTATTAAAAAAACTCTTTTCAATATTGAGAACAATGCTAACTTGTAGGATTGTCAAATGATTTTCATTAAACATAGAAATTTCATTTTGCATGTGATATATTGTTATGTGCAGAAAACGGTCACTCCAGTTTCTTATTTCTATAATATCAAGTGATCAATATCAATAAGGTGTGGGTGTAACACAAAACTTAAATTTCAACATCAAAATCTAATTTTCCAGTATGTATTAAAAAATCACCATGTATTGCACTCATAATTAAAATGTCATTAGCTTTCAAGTAATGTCAAGCTTTTCCTCTTATTTAATATATAATATGCATCAATTTCATACTTAAAACATAAAGGCTTTTAGCATTAATAAATCTTTGTTATATTAATGTTATCAGAATAATGGGAATAATCGATGTTTAAAAATCAACATTATTTATTTGCATTGAATGAAAAATGAAATGAATTTATTACATTTTAATGAATGAAATATATTAAAGAGAATGTATGTTATGCCTTTAAATTCGGCTTAAGTACTTGGTGAAAAAGTAATAATTCATTTGTAAAATTAAAATCTAAAAAAATCAAAAATAACATTTTTTGGGGATACTACAAACAAAACATACAAAATTTGGGGATACTACAGAAAAGAACAATTTTAGTTTAAAGAGAAACTTTCTTAGCAAAATAGCAACTGAAATATGATAAAATTTACTTTAATGTAGTTTCTTCTTTTCCTGTGGGCATTAATGAAAGGTTCCTAGTTTCTTTCTTCCTGACTAAAAATAATAGCATGTTACTAATGTCAGAGACATATGTTTTCTTTGTTTAGTTGTTTTTTTTTATTGTTTTGGAAATTTATAAGTACATTTATTATATCTATTTGATTCGCTCTAAAATGTATGTAAAGTTTTACTAAAATTCCAGAATCAATATATCTGAGATTAACATTAAACCTCACTTAAACAATCTGTATTAAGTTAATTTTCTATTTTTCAGTAAAGTTATATGCCAAGTTTTATAGGTAGGATTATATATGTGTAAAGTTTATTACAAATTAGCAATTGATTTAATGAAAAGGCAGACTTTGACTTTGGTTAATAAAACGCAAAAAATCCCAATAGAATCTGGTTTTTATTAGACTTTTTTATTTACTTTTTTAAGTGAATGTTTTTAAAAAATTTAAAAAGAAAANAAAAAAAAAAAAAAAAAAAAAAAACACTGTTTGTGGGTGGATCAGAAACCCTGTATAGCATTCAAATTGTGATTTTATGGAAAAATTTCGTTTTCTGTAACATTAAATTTTATGAACATTTTGAAGAATGCCTAATTTGCCTTAAAAAGTTATCACGCACAATGAATGGGGTGTGCAGTTTACAAAGGAAACAACTTCTGAAGCATTTTATTACAGGAAAAGTTTTACAATGATTGTTAATTTTGAAATAATAATTTTTCTAGGTATGAATATTAAAATCATGAAACGAGCATTGAATTGATTTTTGTAAGGGGAAATACGTCCCTAATGTCAGTCTATTCCCTTGTATTCTGAACACACCAAATAAAATATTACAAAATTATATTTAATGTTAACCAAATATTTACTATATAATTTTTTCCTTAGCCCTCCTTGGCTTTTATAAGTATGAGTTCTGATCTAGTTTGCTCAGGGGCATTGGTTTTGTATTGTCTTTTGAGCAATTTAATAATGATGAATGGACTAGTTTACTCTGATGGTGCTGTCTTGTTTCCAAAAAATTAACTTAGTTTTAAAAGAGAATAAGTTTTGGGAGACTCCAGTTACAATTTATGGCACTAATATTTTATCCATTTTTGTAGCTCTGTTAAAACTTAAACTATCAGGGTTTTTTTATCAGCTACTTTTGTTTCCTTTTGGATAATTTTGTAATTTAGGTATAATCCTTTCTTACATTTTTATATTATGCAAATAGCACTACATGATTACAGTTTACCTAAAATCATAATATATTATAATTATAGCAACATACATTTTAACAAAATTGAAAAAAGGGTTTACTTAAATTATATTTCTTTAAAAGTGAAACATTTTCAAGGGCAAGCTGGCTGGGCAGCCAGTCTTTTCATAAGTTTCATGAACAAGTAACAAATTTTGAAATTTAAATTTCAAATTCAAGAACTTTACTTTAATAAGGAACTAGTAAAAATGTTTTTTCGTTTATCATTGTATGCTCAAACTTTTTTTAACCTTCGTTGAAATATATTCCTTTCTTAATTTGTATTTATTAAACATCAGAGCTATGACTATACCTTCAGATATTTCTTAAAATTCATTAACTCATATTAAATTTTTGAAACATAATTTTTAAAAATTATTTTTGTTTATTTATTTCCTTCGTAAAATAAAATGCAGTAGAAGATCTTTATAATGCAAACCTTGAAGTCTATGGCTTTGCGTTTTGTAGAATTATGTGTTATATAAATCATTTCACTTTATGTTAAACTTGTCTATTAAATATAGCCATATTGGTCTAAAACAGAACAATCTTAAAATTATTAAAAATAATTTTTTTTAAATAAAAATACTAAATATAATGATTTTTAAATTCAAATAATTTTTAAATTCAAAATATGTACTTAAATGTTTATTGTTTACATAAAAAAATTACATTTTCTGCAGCATTAGAGCTAATAACAAACAAATTAAACAATTTCTGTTTACTTAGCTTTTGAAATTTTAAGCTCTTAGAAAATAGTTAAGCAAACGTTTGAAGGCTAATATTAGTTCTCACTTAGGTATAGAAATTTATTAACTGCAAATTTCTTTATTTACACCCACAATACTAGTGTGGTTTATGGAGAATCGCAGTTTATAGAATTGCATTTTATAGATCTTTTACTGTCTTTTGTAGAATGTTATGTCACAGTTTATTGTACCTGAAAAGACTAAATATTAACGTCCTTTTTTAGTGTTAAGGAAGTTTTTATTTCTTCATATTTAAAAAACAACAAATTCCTGGAAATGTTTTCTTGGTTATGTTTTTATTATGTTTAAATGTTTTCTTGGTTTCTTGTTATGTGAGCTCAAATGTGTTTATCCTATGTAGAAATAATATAAATATTATTAATATATGAAAACAAAGTATCAACTAAACATTTTTTTTTCCAAAAAATTTATTAGAATATTATATCACATTTTATTATAGTACCATAAAATGCTAAGTAATGCTGTTTTTTAAATTTGGACTTTTTCTTTCATATTTAAGAATAATATGGATAGACATATTGAATGCTTAGCTCATTAATGTAACTGCTCATTATCCTCTAAACTTAAATGTGAAGCTTTCCTACTTGCAATAGAGTTAATTCATAAATATTTTCATATTGAAAGTCTAAGTGTGATTGTGTTTGGAGCAATAATGCTCTCTTACTCTGTGATAGTTCATCAAAATGGTAAAACTTATAATGATTTAGATCTGATAAATTCAATGTAATGATATAAATCCCATTCATATTTACTAGTTTGAAAATATGAAATTCAGTTTATTGCCACTGGTTACTAATTGACTTGTCTAATTAAAACAAAAAATTGCAGGGTTACCAACTTCTTCACATTGAGCGGACTTTCCCCTCAAAACTT